ACGCAGAGAAACTAAAGCAGATACCTTAAAAGCAACTGAGGCCAATAGGAAAAGGGGACCAGGAACTAGAGAAAAGGTGAGATCAAAAAGAATTAACCTAGAAGGTAACACACATGCACAGGAAATCAATGTGAGTCAATGCCCTGTATAGCTATCCTTATCTCAACTAGCAAAAACCCTTGTTCCTTCCTATTATGGCTTATACTCTCTCTACAACAAAATTAGAAATAAGGGCAAAATAGTTTCTGCTGGGTATTGGGGGGGGGAGAGGGAGGGGGTGGAGTGGGTGGTAAGGGAGGGGGTGGGGGCAGGGGGGAGAAATGACCCAAGTCTTGTGTGCACATATGAATAATAAAATAATTAAAAAATAATTTAAAAAAATAAAAATGTCTTTACTAGATAACATAAAAATTTAGGCTAAGGGCTAGGGGCTAGTTCAAGTGGTAGAGCACCTGCCTAGCAGTGCTAAGCCCTGGATTCAAACTCAAATACCATCCCCCAAAAAAAGGGGAGAGGGGCATGGATGTGATGGCTCCTACCTGTAATCCCAGCCTACTCAGGAGGTGGAGGTTGGGAGGATTGAGGTTAGAGGCCTACCTGGGCAAAAGTTAACCAGACCACACCTCGACCAACAATCTGGAATGATGGCCTGCACCTGTGGTCCCATCTATGTGAGAGGCATAGGTAGGAGCATCAGAGGTAGACACCTGGCAAAATCACAAGATCCTATCTGAAAAATAACTAAAGCAAAAAGGGCTAGGAGTATGGCTCAAGTGGTAAGAGTGCTTACCTAGCAAGCACAAGGCCCTGAGTTCAAACCCCAGTAACACCAAAAAAAATGTTTTTGGCAATGTGTTGTGGCTCCCGAAATTCTACTTTTAAACCTTAATTTATAGGTAATACCCAAAATTCTGAGAACCACTGTTTTAAACAACTTCTGGTGTTAAGATGGACACAAAGTCCAATATACGCAAATACTATATACTGATTTTCTTACGATTTCATATATTCTTGTCCATACTGACACAGATTTTATCTCTAAATTGCTATATAAAAATTCAGTCAGTATCTTAAATATATTATTATTTTCATAGACATTCCCATAATGTTTTATATTGGGCCTATGACTTATTTGTAAGAATGGCTTTACCCAAATTAACTTTCTTTTTCCTACCCCCAACTCCAAGGATAATTTCCTCTGGGTGTGATTCCCAATAGGAAACTTATAGATGAACAGCAAGACAGGGATGTCTTTATTTTTATTCTACATCACGAGATTATAGCAAAAAGACAAACATGCTACACATCCAACACTTCTGAATGTCCCTGGCAATAATGGGCTACAGTTAATTCTGATAACCTCATTAACAAAGTTGTCTTAGTCTTCCTTTCTCAAATTTCCAGTAAGGATGTGCCTATTCCTCATGATGACATGTGTCTCAAGTCCTGTCCTCACCTCTTCCAAGCACCTCCTCGGAGGACACCAAGTTCTGACCTTCTGCATCTCAATTCCTCCTACTTTAGATAATCAGCACTCAATCTTATAGACTGTTCCATTATTTTCCTTCTTGCGGTGGCATTCCATTTAGTATTTACTCTATCGCCTTTGGCTGGGCTATTTTTCTCTTATTCTTCTGATATTCAGGCACATCTGTCTTATATATGATCATTTTCTCCGTTGCTCCAGTGGCCATAAGTTTATCATTCCTATTCCATTTTCTTCTAGTTACATTACAAACACAGTGGAATTCAAAAGCAGAGGCCTTTATATTCTAAAATTAGTAAGTACAGAATGTTCTGGTGTGAGATTTGCACAGATAGCTCCCAAGGTGGCTACATCGTAAAAGGGCCAATACCACAAAACAGCTGCCCTCAACAGCAAGCACCGACAGTGGATGTGACAACAAAGAACTGAAACTTTCAACTCCTCCTGGAGGGGCTCAGCTCCCTAAAATTCTCTCAACTGCTGACAGCTGCATTTTAATCTCAACAATCTTACTTAAAATTAATATTCAGAAAGAAAGGTCACCAATATGCAAAAGCAATCATCTGAAGAGATATACAGTCACCCAGGAACACAAACTCCAAATCAAATATTTCACCTCCTTATTTTTCATGGAAAGAAAGCCCATGGGAAATTTCAACACTATCCCCACCCCACCCCCAAGAGATAGAAAGTGGAGCAAAAAACTATAGTGACAAGGCACAGTGGTCATGCCTGTAATCTTCGCTACTTGGGAAACAAGCATAAGGAGGATGTTGGTTCAAGGGCAAACCATGTAAAAAAATCCGTGAGACTCCATCTCAACTAGCAGTTGGTATGCCCCTTTCATCCCACCCACGTGGGAGGACTGCAGTCTAGGCCAACCCAGGCATCATGGGAGACCCTATTCAAAACATAACCTAAAGCAAAAAGGGCTGGGAGTGTGCCTCAAGTGATAAAGAGCCTGCCTAGCCAGCCCGAGGTCCTGAGTTCAATCCCCAGCACCACCAAAAAAGAAAAATAAAAAAGAAAGGCTGGGTGTGGTGGGGACATCTATAATCCCAACATTCAGAAGGCTGAGGCAGGAAAATTGCAAGTTCAAGACAGGCCTAGGCTACAAAGCAAGACCCTGTCTCAAAATACCAGGAAAAAAGAAGTAAAAAAGAAAAAAGCAGCAGATCATATTATATAGATAATTTTTACATACTTATGTACATATAAAACATAAATTTAGAAATAAGCCCATGGCGAGTTTAACAGCTGTTACATGTAGGGTAGTAGGGTTATATGTAATTAATTTTTATTTTTTTCTTTGTACTTTTCTTTTGCAATATATACTTATACACTATACCTTATATAATTGAACATCTTTACACACACATACACAAAAATGCATACTTTCATTCTTCTAAAAAGTTGCCTTCTTTTCAATGGAAGTAGAAAATCTCTGGACATTACATATTGAATGAAATGCCACTGAAGTATCTCAACTTTTTGGCCACAGCTCACTAAACATAAGCAGTCCATTTTCTTTTCACACATTACTCACAACAGTAAGTGTAACAGAGAGTCACTAAATAGAATACAAAGAAGTCCCAAAATACTGTGAACTTCTAACTGTCCTTTCTTTTAGGTTATAATCTCGAAGGACTTGTAAGATAACCTGCAAGGAGGCCTACATAAAAGATGATGGTGTCATAAACTGGAAAATGCTTCTGATGCATTCACTGACTGATCAGTGATAGAATGTCTAACCTTTCTTTAAAATTTTCTAGCAGGAAAAAGTAGTGATGGGAAATAAAACAAATGAAACAAGAACAGGAAGTTGAGATTGCTGAAGTGGTGATGGTAAATGGTATAGCATGATGGACTAGCATGCTGTTTTGTATGTATCTGGAATATGACGGACTAGGATGCCATTCTATTTTGTATATATTTGGAATTTTTCTACTCTATTTTATGTAACAGTGTTTTGAAAATGAACAGAGATCCACACATATGCACATACATTCATCATATCAGGAAGTGTAATAAAATTAAGCTCACAGGCACTTTTTCCTTTTTCTTGTGCACATCAGGCATTTCAAAGTGAGCACTCTCTCTACCTTAAAATTAAGACAGAATTCTGACTCTGTACTCTTTATTAGCCAACACAGCTTTTGTGTGTGTGTGTGTGTCTGTCTGTCTGTCTTTCATACACATCTAGACTTAATTCAAAAGATTTTGTTTTTCTGGTGGTAGAGAGGTTTGAACTCAGGGCCTACCATTTGAGCCATATTCCAGCTCTTTTTTGCTTTAGTTAATTTTCAGGTAGGGTGTCGGACTTTTTGCTCAGGCTGGCCTGTACACTAGGTCATCCTAACCGGGATAACAGATGTGCGCTACTATACCCAGCTTTTATCGGTTGAGGGGGGTGTGAGGGAGGATTCTCACTAACTTTTTGCCCAGGCTGGCCTTGAACCGTGATCTTCCAGATTGCCAGCTCTCAAGTAGCAAGGATTACGTATGTAAGCCACTGTAAAGCCCAGCCTTTAAATTTGAAATATTCTGCCCTGGGACAGAATGAGACCAAGCCAGTCCACTGCCAGAGCACTGCCGGGCTCATCACATTAAAAAAAAAGAAAGAAACAAACAAACAAGATGCATGCTGAATGGAGGAGAAGCGAATCCTGTTGTGTGAGACACAGCAAGTGCTCTGCCTCCTCCTGTGAGAGCACAGCAAGCCCGGACACCAGTCAGCTGTGGGTAAGAGGCCTCAACACTCAGCCCAGGCTGACAGCGTGTGTGTTACTCAGCCTGTTCACCACCAATGCTAGGATCTGCACTCTCCTAACTGATGTCTTCCTAGGTCCCGCAAAAAGAAACAAAACATAACTTGTGTCAATTTTGAAGACACAGTTAAAGAGCTTCCTGGACATTATCACAAAAGATGCCCAGATTTTCCCCAAGGCTGGCAAAGTCGGCTTTATTCCCACTTTATGGATACAGAGACTGAGGTTCAGAGGTGTTGAAGACACGCTCTTAAACAACAGTCTTCTGACTTCAGGGACAGCATTCTTGTGTCTCTTGGAGTGTCCGTGAGGATAAGAACATGGCAAGCACTTTCTAAGGGCAGCAAAACAGGGCAGAGCAGAAGAGAAATCGGCTTCAGGGCTGACAAGCCTGACTTTCCAAAACACCCTGAACTGATTCTTGATTCTCCACTGTTCTGTGCTGTTTGGTTTTTCCTATGGATGCTATTCCATTTGTACCCATTTTTCAGTGGGCTTGCTTTCTCTGCTTTCTGTACTATGACCGAGGTCTCCTAACAAGTTGCTTAACCTCAGAAACAGAAATTATTGTTATATTTTAAACCCGAGGGTTTAAAATATGGCTGCGGCTGTGTAGGTGGCAGGTTGAGTCCAGGTCCCCACTCTTTATAAATCAAGAGGGCTGGCAGGAAAAAGAGTTTTCAGGAACATAGCCACAGCCCCCAACTCCCAAGGGCCATTTAGCCTAGTAGGAGAGCAAGGCCTACCTCTCTGACTTCATGAAGCTGGCCGGAATACTGACTCTTGGCTCTTCGGGCAGCTGCAGGCGACTTGTGATGCGTGATTGTGACAACACCGGGGGCCCCCGCACTGAGGTGTCTCTGGCTACAAGGAGACGCAGAATTGGGTGTTCCATGGGGGAGCAAAGTGAGACTTCGGCTTCGGGAGCTTGGAGTGCTCTAGAATAAGCAACAGGTGTCAAAACTCAACAACTGGCCTGCAGAACATAACTGAGTGTTGCCTTCCATTTACTTCCCTCTACCTGATTAGAAGGATGAAGGCAAGGGGGAGGTACTGCCTGCCCAAATTGTGCAAATAAGAAAGACCATGTCCACTAACTGTCCTTGTGCCCTCATCTCTAATTGTGTCCCCTGTCCTTCACTATGGTCACCAAGAGCTACAGAACCCCCACCCTGGCACCATGAACCACGTGCCTCTGCACTCACTACTTCCCTTCCCCTCCTCGCTGGCCTTGCCTGCTCCAGGAGGTGCTTCCCTGGCTTTCTCAGCCTCTCCATCTTATCAAGATTGTCCTCATGTCCAGCTGCTCTCTTCAGAGACTTGTTCACACTCATTTTCACATCATCAAGGTCTGGCATACAATGATGGTTTACTTTATTAGATACTTAATAAATGTTTCCTGCATGAATGGGTGCACTAAGTTATCCACCTCGTTTGTTAGTCCAGGGCCTGCATGTCATCCTATAGAAACATGAATTCCAAATGACAATCTGGTCTATGATAAAGACAGCACTTCTACTTAGTGAACGGATCATTCACACAAAAAAATAATAATAGTGGGCCTTAAATCAACAAAAAATATGTTCAATTGTACTCAAAAGATAAGTGTAAATCTAAACTACACTTAGACACCATCTTTTACACATCGATCAAACTCAAAAGTTGGAATGCACAATCGGTCAACAGGGTCAGAGGGAAATGAGTTTGTAAGAGTAAAAGGTGCAAAGCCCTTGAGGAGGGTGACCTGCCATGGTGGCAACTGTCCTTCCCTGTGCTCCAGCAATCACTTGTCTGGGAACGTGTCCTCTAGATAGACCTGTACCAGGATGACACGCCATAGGTCCCCATCAGACACGGCTGCAGTATACTTAATGACAAAGGATGGGAAGCAACCTAAATGTCCATCAGTGTGGGACAGGTTAAATAAATTACACTACCCCTGCACAACGGAGTACTTTCAAGCTGTAGGAGAACACCAAGGAAGGTCTCTACTAATTGATCTTGAAAAATCTGTAAGAAAAATCTTAACTTTACAGGTTAAGTGTAAAAAGCAAGGTGCAGATCCACTATATAGTATGCAAAGTTGTGCCTGAATGTGGGGAAAAGGTGTTTCCATTATTATTTAAAATCATTTGTGTAAAACACAGAATACTCTAAAAGCATAAAACCAATAAGCTGGCCGCATATTTGTGGAGTGGGGAGGAACAGAGGAAGAGGGAGATTTTTCACTGTGTAGTTTCTTATATTCTTTCGTTTTGTGCCATGTGAATTCATTACCTACTCAAACTTTAATTCTGAATGAAATTTATATTCAATTAATTATTCTTACCTATTCAAAAAAGTTTAATTCTAGGGCTAGGGGTGTGGCTCAAGCAGTAGAGTACCTGTCTAGCAAACGCAAAGCCCTGAGTTAAAACCCCAGCACCACATTAAAAAAAGAAAAAATTTAACTCTTCATAAAATTTGTATTCTAATTGTTCCCATGCTTCATTTCAGTTTGAGAAAAAGCAGCTGGATGATATGCTGAAATCATACCAGGTTCTGTACAGTAATTATCAAATATTCACTGCATACCTACTATATGCTTATAGAATCCCAACTCTGAAATGTCAAAGAGAAACACAGTTGGGCACCACTGACTCACGCCTGTAATCCGAGCTACTCAGGAGGCAGAGATCAGAAGGATCATGGTTCAAAGCCAACCCAGGCAAATAATTCAAAAGACCCTATTTTGAAAAAAAACCCATCACAAAAATAGGGCTAGTGTACCGGCTCAAGGTGAAAGCCCTGAGTTCAAACCCCAGTACTGCAAAAAAAAAAAGAGAGAGAGAGAAACACAAGGTGTATGACACAGGTTTCCCATGATGCTTAATAGTACTGTTGGTGATATAAGACACACAAGATACAGAAAGTCACACACACTTTAACAGTGAGGCAGTGTATAACAGGATGCTAATTTGGCAATACAGCTAGAATATGTCACAGAAGTGAGTAAGAAGACATCAAGGAAGGGCTGATCTCATCACAGAAAGATGTTCTAAGGGTCAAAACCTGAGGCTTACATAGGCTTTGGGAAAATAAGAAACAAAGTGCAGAATACACAGCAATCCAGACTGTCTGGGTATTCACGGTAGCCATGGCTTCAGTCCCCTTCAATGTTAACCTGGTCACTTTACAAATCTCCAACAGATTGAGGAGTGGGGTGAGAGCCAGGTGGAAATGAGAATTCTGGAGATTCTGAAATGCCACCATGATCTGCTCTCTGGACTGGATTCGTATATAGCTAAAAGAAATACACATAAACATGGGAACCGGGTACTGCTTTTAAATAACATTATTGTCTAGGTAACTGGAGGAATGTATGGTCTGACAATCACTCTGTCTTGATCACAATGAGCTAGAGCAGTCATTACTTTCAGCACCGAGCTTTTTACTTGGAGTGTGGAAGAGTAAAGAGGCTATTTCCCTAATCCTTTAATAACAGTAAATTTGCCTAAGTATTAAGACCACTGAAATGCATTTTTTTTATTTGAAAGGCTTATTCCAATCCAAGAAAAAAAATCAGGTTTTTTCACTGGGCTTTGAAGCCAGAAAGACAAGTTTCATTTCCGCAGCTCTACTGAATTCTAGCCATGTGACCTTGGGTGAATTATTTAAGCTTTTTCATTAACCACCAATTTCCTAATCTTTAAAAGAGGAATAGTAATATTGACCCTTAAAAGACGTCATGAAGATTAAATTAGCTCATACACATAAAATGTTTACATAGACCTGACATGCAGGAGTTGCACAACCAAAGTTTACATCTTTACATCACTTAAAACTTGATCAATGAAGGGGTTACTGATTTTTTTTTTGGGGGGGGGAGTTATTGATTATTTGAATGTTAAGAAGTTGCTTAGCACAAAATCATAGCGGTCACTGACCTTCTCCTTATTTTCTACAGGATTAAAGTGGTGATGAACGCCAAGCGTGGAGGTTCCCACCTATAATCCCAGCTGTTAGAGAAGCTGAGGCAAAAAGATCATGAGTTTGAGGCCAGCCTAAGTTATACATAGAGACCCTGTCTCGCATAAAACACAAAGGGATGGGGGTATGGCTCAGTACTAGAGCAATACAGCACTTCCCTAGCAAGTGCAAGACCCCGAGTTCAAGCCTCATTGCTGAAAAAAGAAAAGTGATGAAGCTCAAAATATAATTAAATACTGACATGGTCTGCAATCAGACAATCATATATCGAGAACTAAGGGAAAACACTCTCTCTCTCTCTCTCTCTCTCTAAAATCAGAGGGAGGACAGCTAGTAGTAGACTCCTTTGCCCATTATGAATGGCAATAAATCCAGAAATTCACCCAGGAGCCAGATTACCCCTGTGGAGTCTAATCCCATGATTATTACTTAACAGCTGCCATTTGAATTCACAACAGTAAATTTAAGTTGGAAAACCTTTACTTTTCCATTAACTGTGGGATTCTCACAGTTTAATTCACACCCATGCCTCTTCTTGAGGGTAAATGAGAGCAAGAGTCTCACTCTGGGTTCTCTAGGTGAGTCCCACAGTTGATCAGGAAGAAAACTGTAACCACTATAAATTAACACACAGCTTGCCTAAAGTCTCTGAGTTTTGTTTTAAAAATCTGTGTGGATGCATAAAGGTATACCCTTGCTACTAATTCAAAATAAAACATTAACAGTATCTGAAGAGCAACATGTCAGGATTTTGTTCCAAATATTTACTTCAACAAGGGCAACTAAAAATGCCAAGTCTGCTATGTGCAGAGAATTCTGAGTCAAGAGTAATGGTTTACTCATCCTTTACCTAGGAGAAGTGCCCCTTCATACTGCTATTAGCCACTCACCTGGCCCCTCTTGTGTCCCCTCCCTCATTAAGCAATTGCCTGGTGGGAGCATGTAGGACAGTGCTGAGAGCACTCCGCCTCAAGCACAAAACAGGAAGGCCTCTCCCACACTCCTCATTGACGCCCACACTTCCCAGGCTGTTAAGGGGACACACACACATGCTCTTTTGCATCAACAGGCAAAATGAGCACGAAGGGCAGGGGTGCTGGGAAAGACAGGGGATCACTACTGGGAACAGGCCCATTGAGGCAATCAGACAACAAGCCTTGGGGGCCTGTGAGGAAGGCTAAGAGCCAGTAGCACAGCCATTTAGAGGCTGGATTCCATGCTGCTTGGCTGTGTGGAAGAGCCATCTACCGTGCAAGAGAGCAGGGAGCAGTCAGAAGCATACTTTCTCCAGACAACGACTTGTGTTCATATCCAGGTTACTACTATCAAGCTGAGCAACCCAGGTGAAGAACCTAGAGACTTTCATTTCTAAAACTCAACATGGCCTACCTAGTTGGGTTGCTGGAGAATGGAATGAGAACACATACATAAAGCATGCACCACCTAGCAGCATGCAATAAAAAAATAAAATTTAATAATAAAAATGAGGCTTTCGAACACCACTGCAGGTGAGTGGTGAAGTGCTCTGTGAGTGGAATACGTGGATCTACGGGCTAACACTACCTTAGACTTCCTTAACGGAAAAACAAAAAACAAAGAACTAATCCTCCTAGTTGCTAAAGACCATTTGTTTCACAGGAAAAAAGGGGATACTGAACATACAACCTCATATTTTCAGAAAGCCACCTGTTCTAGAAAGCAAAGTGTCTACAGATTACCATGATGGATCACAGAAGTAAAGAAGGAATTGAAATAAGTAATGAGAATTTCCCATTAATATTTGGAATAAAATAAAATGGAAAAGGTCATCAGCTAAGCCTAAAAACCTCTCAAAACATGCATCAAAGGTTTATAATTGCTGAGTTAGAATTAAAAGGCTGAAAGAGAATAAGGGAGTATTAATAACTGTACATTTATGGTACCACACTTCTACTGTAGAAAACTTTCTGATGGGAAAATCTTCTGAGAT